AATACAAATTAATTTTAAAAAACTGGCACTTTTGGAATGTGAATATTCAAATATTAAAGTGCTTGGATTTTTTGTATATTTTGGCAAACAAATTACAAAACCACTTTAAAAAATAAATGACAACTAAAACCTGGCTAAATGTGTGTCATCTGTATAGTAAAACAGACCTGTTGTAAGATTGCTCAAACAAATCATAGTGCAAACTGTAGTATATATTTGACTGATATATCGCATAATTATGCATACATTACTATGTAATACATGTTAACTTTGTGTCACAGCATGCAGGGTAATGAACATGGATGAGATTGTGTGTTTGATCCCTGCACTGCATTGTGTGAGGCTCAAGCACGTTTCAATATAATGTTTGTAATTTCTGAACGGCTTGCAATTCTCATCGGAATGCCATAATGACCGGTTCCAGGGGTCACATAGACCATAGTGTGTTCAGAGACACGGTAGAGTCCACAGAAAAATGGATTCATCAGGAATGCCAGGATGGTGAGGGGGAACAGCTGACCAGCATGTGTGTGACCTACACAAATGCAAAATTGAGTTCAGTAGAGGACAGAAGTTAAGCTTTAGCAGCATACTCCTAAATTTTCCCTTTACAAAACACCAAAGCATCTGAAAGACCACAATAATTGAACTGATATTTACAGACCTGAGAGTACCAGACTGATGTCTGGTCGTTGCTGGAGGGCCTGTTTGGCAGCATGAGGCTGATGTGCAAGAAGAATAATAGGGCTCTCTGCACTGCAGCCACTAAGAGCTTTCTCAACATCCATGCCATGGCCTGGGTATCTTTAACCAAAGTAACACCATGAACATAAGCCCAGTACAAGGCACACAATATGCATCAGATTTGTATGTATTCAAATGAGCCTGACAATGAGATCAATGTGGACTGACCGAAGCATGCGGGCCTCGAGGTCATCAATGCCAGCAAGGCAAATCCAGTCTTGAATTTGTTCAGGACGGAACACTTTTGCATGGCTGTTGTGAAGAGCCTGAATCCCCATTGAGCGCAAGAGCTCAAACCAGCCTTCAACATCAGCAGTGTAGTAGTCATGATTGCCTGAAAGTCACATGAAAATGAATGTGAAGATGTGCACAAAATGTTTATTTACACCCTTTTGTCAAACAGCTAACTAAGACAGACCTGTAGCAAAATAGGAGCCCAGTCGAGCCTTCATCTGTCCCAGTGGTTCTGCAGCGCTCCTCAATCGAGTCACCTGAGAGTCAGTCAGGTCACCGACAATCACCACCACATCTACAGCAACAAACACCAGGAGTAAAATTCAATATCAGGTATATGTTAAAGGGACAGTCTACCCAAAAAATAAAAATTCTGGCGTCATTTGCATGTAGTTCCAAACTTGTAATACTCACTTTGTTCTGTTGAACATGAAGATATACAGTGTGTGTGTGTGTGTGTGTGTGTATATATATATATATATATATATATATATATAATGGATGTCAATGGGAATGGATACCGTTTGGTTACTAACATTCTTGAAAATATCTTCAGGTTCAACAGAAGAAAGGCAGTCATACAGGTTTGGTTTGGAATGACATGAGTGTTATTAAATGATGGGAGAATAAATTTTTGGGTGGACTATCCCTTTGACATTTTAAAGATTATACTGATAGCATATAATTGTATAATTGTAATTACCTGGGTTCAGCTCATTCACCATAGTCACAATGCGCTGTAGTTTGGAGCGGCCCACTGTAGGTCCCAGATGTATGTCGGACAGAAGCACCAACCTGAACCCGTTCAAAGACTCAGGGAGCTTCTCTATTGGGATCTCCACTTCAATTACTCGTGGAGGCTGGGCTGCATTTACTAACCCATACACTGCCAGGATTGCTGTTACTATCATTGCCAACACTATATGACTGACTGATCCGCTCGCGACCGCATCCTCTTCTCCTCGGCTGCGGGAGAGAAGCCTGCGGAGGCGTTTAAGGCAGCCAAAAACGAACAGGAAGAATAGTAGGATGACATAAATGCCCAAACAGGAGAAACACAGCAATGATAACCAGTGTGGCTCAGTGTCCACGAGGAAAAACATGCACGGGTAGCTCCCGTGCACCAGAGTAAGAAACAGCAGGACGAGAAGACGCCAACATCTCTGCGGGACAGAAGGTGCACCTCTGGATCCGCACAGCCGCCTCACCACGCGTTTCCATATGTAGAGAGAGCCGAGGAGCAGCAGGGAGTTGATGAAAAGGATAAACTGAACGCGAAACAACGAAGCACGAGTGTTTTTGTCAACCCGCTCTGAGATTAATGTTCTGGATATAAGCATAGAGAAAAAAACAACTCCCGATGCGATTCCTACTTTCCATTCGGCGGAGAGGCGCCCGAATCCAAACATACTGACCGTCATGTGCTCGGTCACTGACCCCTGCAACTATACTGCTGCGGTCATTATTATGACAGCACGGTACAACTTATAAGAGCGATAAAAGAGTTCCTCATACCTGTCTATTCACGGTCCATTCTAGAAAAAACATTTGAGTCATTCTCTTAACTCGGACATGGGAGAACAACACAAAACTACTTCCGCGGACAGAGACCTGATGGCTGCTATGATAACAACATGAAGAATACTGTTGTGGTTCGCGGTTTCGGACTAGAAATGTCATGCATACTCAAGCTATATAAACGTCCATTACATAATTCGCGATCGTGTAAGACAAATTAAATATAAACACGTCAGTCATTTGACAGCGTCTCTTCTGGCCTTTCTGCGTGACAAGTGTGTGCGGTAATATCATTGGCTCGTCACATTACAGAGGCGTGGCTAATGTGACGCTCTTAATTCTGATTGGAAAGGATCTCAGTATTATTAATACACATATTTTGAGTAATATAGGCCTATTAGCTTACAACTTTTTTATATTAAAACACCATTTCCTGCCATAGTTTGTGCTTTTGTAATCATTGTTCAGCATCTTACTTAAAACGTTATTACCTAAGAATGAGCTGTTTTATAACCAACACTCCATTTCTGTTCATTTTTATTGAAATTTTGAAGCTATTTTTTTCGTTAGGTCAAATAACTTATAAGTTTGATAATGTGATATAACAAAACATTTTGATTTAATAATAATAATGATGATAATAATAATAATAAGTGATAACTATATATATACCCAAAGTTGAATAAGTTCTTAAAGAAAAAAATGTTGTCAGGTTGTCTTAATATCACACTTAATACTTAATACACACACCCCTGGTTTCATAAGCCTAGTCTCTGACTAAAATGTAAGTCTGAGCTGTTTCAACTGAAAGAAACTTGCACTGATTGATCTTAAAATGTGTGTGTCCTTGTTTTGTGTCAAAATGCACACCAGTAATGTTTTTCTAAGGTATGTTCATAAAAAATTACTAGAACTATGGTCTAATACTGGCTTAGTCTGTGAAACCAGACCACAGTGTCAAATGTATACATGCAAAACTGCATTTAAATTTTAGGAATGGGGTCATCATGAATGCTCTTGGCATCAATAAGTTTGAATTTTAAAGTTTACATGTATCCTGTATGGATGAGAAATAACATTAAAACTCAAAGTAGCCTACATCCTTTATTTCATCAATAATCACAACAAATGCGGGAGTACACGAAATAATTGTTTTATTATTATTATTATTATTAATGGAGCACAGTGTCACAACACATTATCACAGACTTTCATTTGCAGCAGTGTGTCGCACGATTTCTCCTTGTCCTTGCACGCGCTCTCACAGTCCTTCGTGCCCTTACTGCATTCAGATGGACAACTGCCGCAACCTACCGGGTCGAAAATGGGGAAATTATTTCATTCTGTAGAATTCTGGGTGACGTGATGTTTAATAATCCAAAGTGTTCGTTATTCGACTCACTTTTTTTTTGCTATGTGTGCACTTGCAGTTGGTGCATTTGCAGTTTTTCCCGCAGTTACAAGATTTAGCTACAACACAGACAGATGGTCTTTTCAATTTTCTGAAGATGCGTGCGCGAGACACCGTATTTTCTTGCTACAATTACTTAGATTACATATGTTTGGTTTACATACTTACATTTAGAACAGCCACACTGGTCCATTTTGGCACCCTAATTCCAACAAATGTATGATGCTTTCGTGGAAAAATCTGTCTGGTAGAAATAAATGGAATCGCTCGTTCGTGCGTCACAATCACGTACGTGGGAACGTCATATGAAGTGTGTGAGCGCGCTGATGGATGAACTTGGGATCTCATTCAGTATTATGTGGGCATCAGATAAAAATAAAAGGAAAGCCAGGCATAATATAATTATTATCTTTCACACTGATCTTATTTTATGTATTTATGTAACTACTGCAATTATATACGCAGCCCAATTCTTGATAACTGCAGGTTAAACTAGACTAACCATGTTAAAGGAGGAACAAATCAGTACACAGCCAGTAGTTGGTGCTAAAGTGTTTTCTTTTTTAATGTAAACATTTCATTGGTCGGTCAGAAGACTAAACCCAGCAGAACAGTGTGCAGTAGGCCTCTGACCCCAAGGGAGGAAAAGAGGCCATTCAGTGCACCAAACAAAAAAATCCATCCACAGCAGAGAAAAAGAGGAAAAGAAATCGGGGTTAAGTAACAGGTCATGGTTGAATAAAGAGTGTGCATGCATCACACGCACACGCACACGCATCTGAACACACTCTCACACGTCATTATGTCATCAGTTAAAGAGAGTGGGTTAAAAATAAGCAATAGCTCATTCATTCAGTAATTCAGTTATATATGAATCTGAATTACTATGTTAATATTTACGCTGTTCTCCATGTAAAGTCTGTAAGCTAGTTTGTTTGTATTCATCATAGCCCAACACTGATAGGGTGCACAAAGTGTGGGGCGATACAAAATATGTAAATACATGCGCTTATACAGGGCCGTCCTTAGCTGACGCGGGGCCCGGCTTAGGGAGCGGGGGCCCCTTCGGTCCGTTGGCGATCGCGTTCCGGACAATTCAGCTCTTCTAAATGATTCACCATATATCTTGCTCTTAGTCATTTAGCCTGCGAGAGTCACTGATCCTTCTGGGTTTCTGAGATCATTTTAGTGGATCATGCCAGCATTTGGAAGTCTCTTACACAGCAGAGAACCTTTGTGTGTCCTTTGTGTCACCCGACAAACACTCTCACTTGTTATGACTTCCACTCACACACATGCACTCAGGCTTAAAGCATCTATGCCCGGCCAAACACTAATTTTTACACTATACATGCACACCCATACGTTATTTACGCCAGCAATGTACTGACAAACTACAAAGGAAAATAAGGGATAAATATTCTGAACAAAAGACAAAAATTGACAGAGTGAAATGAAATATGGGAGTACCTTGGCCAAAGTCACAGGGGTGTCAGTTCAGTCACTTGTTACCATTTCAAATGGCAGGAAGTGGAGTTGGAGCTCAGTAGAGGCCACAACCACGCAGGTTATTGGCGATGATGATGTCAGTGACAGCATCAAAGACCACTTGGATGTTTCCTGTGTCTGTAGCGCAGGTTAGATGACAGTAGATCTCTTTATTAGGAGAGCGATTCTTACTTTCAAACTGACTCTGTATATATGCAGCCGCGGCTTCGAATGTATTTAGGCCTGCAGGAAAGATGAAGAGATGATGGACTGAGTTTTCAAGCCTTTTTTTATATCTGTAAATTTCTTATATACGTGTGTGCATAGCTCTTGTACCTGTGTATTCTGGGAAGCAGATATTCAATGGAGATTTCACAATCTTTTCTCCAAAAAGGTCCTTCTTATTAAGGAAAAGGATGATGGATGTGTCAGCAAAGAACTTATTGTTACATATAGAGTCAAAGAGCGTCAGAGACTCATGCATACGGTTCTGCAGAGAAGAGAGAGAGAAAATTTAATCAAACACATTTGAATTTTTTCAGACTGCATAATTAGCATGAGTTTAAACTCTCTTTAAAAAAAAAAATTCTCATTATATTAGAGTATATTACATTATATTATATTATATTATTGACACAGTCAACAACACCCACAGGACCAGACCCCTACACTCCACCCACTCGTTCACAGTCACCAGAGTTCTGATCACATGCACCTGTCACATCCAATCAGCCCAGACTATATAAACCGCTCACCTCAGTTCACTGTTGTCTGGTCTTGTTGTTCCTACCTGAATGCTACCCGACCACTTACTTGCATGGACTTACCCTCTTGCGTCCGATATTCATCTGCATTCAACCTCCGAACCCGTCTCACCAACACCAGTTCACCCAAACCTGCAAAGATAAGTGTTATTCACTGAAATACCTCAGCATTGGTCTGTCGACCAATCACTCACCTGCTATCCATGTGTATCTGTCAAAACCTGCAATACACCTGTTGTTTGGATTACCTTGTTGCATACTTCTGTTTTATGACAGAAGACCAGACCAAACATTCAACGTGAAGATGCTTCCAGTGATGCACAAAACCCTTCCAACGATACTTTTGCTGACTTAGTTCATGCTCTCCATCAAGCACTTCAACCACTCGTCACCACTCCTTCACCGTCTGCCTCTGCCAGTCCCATGGCCCGATCAGCGACCTACTCAGGAGTGGAGGAGGATTGCAGCGGATTCCTGCTACAATGCTCTCAGTTTTTTAAAATGCAGCCCCAGCTGTGCACCAACGATCGTGCCAAGATTGCATGCATCATTTCCCTGTTATCTGGATGAGCTTTGCAGTGGGAACGTGCTATGTGGTACGCCAATGGACCAGTTACCAACTTGCTGACGGCGTTTACCATGCATTTTAAAGACATCTTCGGACAGACCGCTAGCACGCTCTCTGTGCATGATCAACTCTACCGGCTCCATTAAGGCAGATCTTCAGTCACAGACTATGCTCTTCAGTTTCGCTCTCTGGCAGCTGTCAGTACTTGGAATGAAACAGCCTTAATCACTGTATTTTGTCAAGGTTTAAACTCCAACATCCATCAACAAATGGGATCTATGATGACATGATTGGATTAGAGAGCTTCATCCAGTGATCGATTGCCTATATTGTGGTTCAGAGGGTCACACCCTTCCCTCGTGACCAGTCAGACCTCCACGCCAAATGGTGAGTACTATCCATATACCACTTTCGATATCCTTGCTTGCCCATTCAGATGTTATTCTAATGACTTCCCATCAATCTATTTCAGCGAAAGCCCTCATAGATTCCGGAGCCGCCAGAAATTTCATCTCACACTCAACCTACTTCGCAAGCTTCACCTCCGAAGGAAACATTGTCCTCAAGTTCTCCATGTGCACTCCATACTGGGAAAACCACTGGGCCTTGGCTACATTCATCATTGTTCCCCCATTGTGACCCTCCACCTTGGATGTCTACATCAGAAAAGGATCTAATTTTTGGTGCTGGAGGGTTCCACAGCCGACATCATCCTGGAATGCCGGTGGTTATTAGAACATGCTCCCCTTGTGAACTGGAAAACCGGTGAGGTGCAACAATGGAGTGAGGACTCTTTGGCTAACTGTATCAAGACTGTTAGAAGAACAACCTTCAAGTCTGTTAAATCTAAATCAACTCCTTCTTCTCATGTCGATGTATGCTCCACATCCATTGAGAGCCCTGACACCTCCAAACCACAAAAAGATTCCTCCAGAATACTGGGCGTTCCAGGATGTCTTCAGTAAGAAACTGGCAACCAAACTACCACCCCATCGGCCATGGGACTGTGTGATCGATCTGCTGCCATTTCCACATGCTAAAAAGTCATTGGCCATGGGACTGTGTGATCGATCTGGTGCCATTTCCACGTGGTAAAGTCTACCCGTTGTCCATCTCGGAACAAAAGGCAATGGAGGAGTATATCGAGGAGGCTCTCAAGCAAGAATTCATCCGTCCATCCACTTCCCTGCCGCTTCAAGTTTCTACTTTGTGGGAAAGAAGGACGGAGGCTTGCAACCCTGCATTGACTACCATGCTCTCAACTCTCAGACAGTCATGTTCCGGTACCCTCTTCTTCTGGTCCCAGCAGCACTGGAGCAGTTACGGGGAGCTCGCATCTTCACGAAGTTGGACCTGCAGGCCACTACGAATATCTCGTTATGCCGTACAAACTGTCCAACTCACCCTCAGTCTTCCAGGGATTTATGAACGAGGTGTTCCGGGAATTCCTTCATTGTTTCGTCATTTTTTACATTGATATCCTCATCTATTCCTGGAACCAGGCCAAACATCGCCAGCACGTGACGTAAGTCCTCCAGAAACTTCAATAATTCCACCAGTACCTCAAGCTCGAGAAATGCGTGTTCCACTGTAACACTATCCATTACCTTGGCTATGTCATCGACCAACACGGCATCCGCATGGACCAGAGGATGGTACAGGCAGTTGAGAATTGGGCACAACCCATATCCATCAAGGAACTACAACGCTTCTTGGGGTTTGCGAACTTCTACAGGAAGTTCATCAACAACTTCAGTAAGATTTGCTCACCTCTAACATCCTTGCTGAAACATGGGGCCAAGTCTCTGTCCTGGAACTCTGAAGCATCCAATGCCTTCAACCAGCTCAAGAAAGCGTTCTGTGCCTCTCCTACCCTAGTGCATCCCAATCCAGAACCGCCCTTTGTCGTCGAAGTTGATGGATCCACCACCGGGGTAGGAGCCATATTGCCTCAGCGGCAGGGTGAGCCTCCCAAACTCCATCCATGTGCCTTTTTCTCTAAGAAGCTGTCCCCAGCGGAGCACAACTATGACATCGGTAACCGCAAAATGCTGGCCATCAAACTTGTCTTAGAAGAGTGGCGCCTTTGGCTGGAGGGAGCTAAACATCCTTTTGAGGTCATCACTGACCACCGTAATCTTGAGTATCTCCGGGAAGCCAAAAGATTAAACACCCGTCAAGCTTGTTGGTCTCTTCTTCACCAGATTCAATTTCACTGTGACTTACCGGCCAGGGAGTAAGAACCAGAAAGTGGACGCTCCGTCCAGTGTCTACCACCCTGAGTCAGAGACAACTCCTAAACCCATTCTCCCTGCAGTCATCATTGTCAGCCCGATTGAGTGGTCTATTGATGACCAGATCGTGGAAGCCATGCGGTCTGAATCTGCTCCACCGGGAGGTCCTGAGGGACAGATCTATGTGCCAACTCATCTCCGTCTGTCCCTCATGGACTCCGCACATACATCACCGGGCTCTGGACACCCAGGCAGCCAGCAAACCCTCTCGCTCATCAGCAATCGCTATTGGTGGCCCAATATGGCCCAGGACATCTCCTGGTTCATCCAAGGATGCTCCGTCTGTGCCAAAGTCCCTCGCCACCTACCTGAGGGAAAGCTGGTCTCCCTTCCTGTACCTAATAGGCCATGTTCACACATTGGAGTTAATTTCATCACTGACTTACCTTCTTCGGATTCTCACACGTGTCCTCTTCATTGTAGACCGTTTCTCCAAAGCGTGCAAGTTGATTGCTTTGAAAGGACTACCCACTGCCTTTGAAACTGCCGAAACCCTCTTCCAGCAAGTCTTTTGTCATTTTGGGATCCCCGAAGATATCGTCTTTGACCGCGGACCTCAATTCATCTCCCGAGTGTGGAACGCCTTTTTCCAGTTACTCGGAGTCACCGTAAGCTTAACATCGGGATATCATCTGCAGTCCAACGGCCAGAATGAGAGAAAGATACAAGAAATCGGGAGATACCGGCGGTCATATTGTCATGAACAACAAGACCGCTGGAACTGTTACCTTCCATGGGCCGAGTATGCACAGAACTCCCTGCTTCAAGCCACCACCGGATTAACACCCTTTTAGTGCATACTCGGCTACCAACTGCCCCTGTTTCCCTGGTCAGGTGAGCCTTCTGATGTTCCAGCTGTCCACCATTGGTTCCAGGAGAGCGAGAGGGTTTGGGACTCAGCTCACATCCACATGCAGAGGGCAGTTCGGAGACACAAGAGCCAGGCCGACGCTAGAAGATCAGCGACACCCTAGTATCATCCAGGGCAGAAGGTCTGGCTCTCAACCAGGGACATCTGTCTTCGACTGCCCTGTCGCAAGCTAAGTCCCCACTATGTCATTCCATTCACAATCCAGAGGCAGATCAATGAATTCACATACAGGCTAAACCTTCCTCCTCACTACGGAATATCACCTTTTTTTTCATGTATCCCTGTTGAAACCATATACTAATCCTCTGCTTGCTTCCTCTCCAGGGTCTGGTGCTGATGACGTGCCTCCTCCTCCTCCAATGGATCCTTCAGAGGAGAATATCTACAGAGTCAACACCATCCTAGACTCCCGACGACGGGGTGGTCACCTAGAGTACTTCGTAGACTGTGAGGGGTTCGGCCCAGAGGAAAGATCTTGGGTTGCCCCTTTGATGACATACTAGACCCATCTCTGCTACTTGAATTCCACACGTATCACACCGACTGTCCAGCACCGAGAGGTAGAGGCCACCCCCATCATTGTCGAGCTGCCCGTAGAGGGAGGGTTCTGTCACAGAATCAACAACACCCACAGCACCAGACCCCTACACTCCACCCACTCGTTCACAGTCACCAGAGTTCTGATCACATGCACCTGTCACATCCAATCAGCACAGACTGTATAAACTGCTCACCTCGGTTCACTGTTGTCTGGTCTCGTTGTTCCTACCTGAATGCTACCCGACCACTTACTTGCATGGACTTACCTTCTTGTGTCCGATATTCATCTGCATTCAACCTCCGAATCCGGCTCACCAACATGTTCATCCAAACCTGCAAAGATAAGACTGTTATTCACTGAAATACCTCAGCATTGCTCTGTTGACCAATCACTCACCTGCTATCCACGTGTATCTGTCAAAACCTGCAATAAAGTTGTTTGGATTATCTTGTTGCATTCTTCTGTTTTATGACTATTATATTAATTATATATATTAATTTTGAATATAAAATGTTAAATTTTTTATAAGTGTGTGTGAAATTTAAATTATATAATTATATATATATATAACACAAATTAAATTTATTTTATAATATACCATTATATATAAAATCATACATAATAGAGTACTTCGTAGACTGTGAGGGGTTCGGCCCAGAGGAAAGATCTTGGGTTGCCCCTTTGATGACATACTAGACCCATCTCTGCTACTTGAATTCCACACGTATCGCACCGACTGTCCAGCACCGAGAGGTAGAGGCCACCCCCATCATTGTCGAGCTGCCCGTAGAGGGAGGGTTCTGTCACAGAATCAACAACACCCACAGCACCAGACCCCTACACTCCACCCACTCGTTCACAGTCACCAGAGTTCTGATCACATGCACCTGTCACATCCAATCAGCACAGACTGTATAAACTGCTCACCTCGGTTCACTGTTGTCTGGTCTCGTTGTTCCTACCTGAATGCTACCCGACCACTTACTTGCATGGACTTACCTTCTTGTGTCCGATATTCATCTGCATCCAACCTCCGAATCCGGCTCACCAACATGTTCATCCAAACCTGCAAAGATAAGACTGTTATTCACTGAAATACCTCAGCATTGCTCTGTTGACCAATCACTCACCTGCTATCCACGTGTATCTGTCAAAACCTGCAATAAAGTTGTTTGGATTATCTTGTTGCATTCTTCTGTTTTATGACTATTATATTAATTATATATATTAATTTTGAATATAAAATGTTAAATTTTTTATAAGTGTGTGTGAAATTTAAATTATATAATTATATATATATATAACACAAATTAAATTTATTTTATAATATACCATTATATATAAAATCATACATAAATACATACACACACACAACTATATTTGGTGATTTAGATCAACTTCAGGTTGACCGTCAAAGGATTGTTTTAGAGAAAAATGCAAAGATAGAAAAAAAAAAACCCAAGAGTGCTTTTTTAACTAATTTACCATTAAATGTCATAATGTGAGTATAAAAGCTGTCTAAATGATCAGGTGTAAGTCTGGGTGTAGTAGTTTACCGTGGTTTCGTCTTCATGGAGCATTTGGTCATATCCACTCATTGCCACACAGAAGATAATGGCTGTCACATCCTCAAAGCAGTGAATCCATTTTTTCCTCTCTGATCTCTGTCCCCCCACATCAAACAGCCTGGGGACGAAACATCACACACTTTCAGGACACATATGAAGCCATGTACATGCATGTGTGCACATACACAAGACATGCAATGCATGTTAAGAAACAAAATAGGTCGACCAAAGATATCAGATTTGCAACGTCTAACACGCTGATAAAGTGAATTAAAAGAAATGATTTTCCAATTCCTTATGTCAGTTACTAACAAATAGACTTTGAGGACAATTATACAGATCTTTTTTTATTTTTGCTATATAACATCTAAGTACCTTTTCATTCAGCAAAATATTCCCAATATTTTTTTTAATTACAATTTTCTAAAATATATATATTTTTTAATTTAATTAATTTTAAAAATCATATATGAGTCAAATCAGATTTGTATTGTGATTTTTACAATGAACAGTTTCAAAGCAGCTTAACATAAAGTCATACTAATATGTCTTAAAATGTACACTGAGCAGTTTTGGGTGATTTGACAATATATGTTGATAATTTAAATGATGATCCCAGTTCAGATTCAGCTCTATATATTTACTTATATTATGCAGATATATAGTTTGATATAAGTTTGATAAGGTATAATAACATGCTTTTAGGAGGCACGGAAAAATCCTCATTTTTTGAATTCCCGATAAATATTGCATTTAACTTACATAAGAGAAACATAACTATTCAGTAGATACCTAAAGTTAAGGTTCTTGAAGGAAAAATGTGTCTCAACGATGCCAGTAGTTTTGACTCGGGTTCGGAGAATATCCTGTTCAGTGGGGAGGTAATCTGGAGATCCAACGCGCTGCAAACTGTCTAGGTAACTAAAACACAGAACACCCGTGTGGATTTTTAAATATGTATTATAATACATAATATGTGTAACGTGCACATTACAACTGACAGTGACATGCTTGTTGCATCATCTTGTGTGTATAACATTGGGACTCACTATTGGGCGGAGTCGTTGAGCTGATACTCTCGTGAGCGGCTAAAGCAAGCCTGAGTTCCAGCATCAGTCCACAGACGCATCATGGCAGCCAGCAGTTCTGCTGAAAATGGCTCTGTGTCTTCCATACGACCAACCACATCAAATACGATCTTAGCATCTGCCTATAAACGCATGCAAAATGTTAGAAACATCCTGTTAAATACATATGAGTGTAGAATGACACCCACTAAACAGGGTTTCTACAGACATGAACAAGTTAAATTTAAGACTTTTTAAGACTTTTTTTAATACCACCTTATATGAAATTTAAGACCTAAACCTGTAATGGAAATACACATTTTATTACATACATAATGTTATGAGATTAATGTTTTAAATGCATTTATGAATATACAAATAAGAAATTTTGAGGGGAAAATGCATACTTTTCAACAAACTTCTCAACTGAACTACCAGTAAGAGTGGCGGTAAGTCACTTAATGAGTGAGTCATCGAGTCACTCATTCAACTGATTGAGTGTGTTATCATGCTGGTATCTTAAGGACTTTTGTGGACAGCTGACTCCTAAAGTTTTTGATATTCTTCATATTCTGTGTGGTGGTCAGATAGAAATTAATCTTTTCCAATAAGTTTAAATAGATTTTTACCTTTTATGGGCATTTTACCTTTATAAAGCCATTTTTCTATAAGTGTGCATTATCTTTTGAGTCAAATTCTTACATTTAATCAGTGAATAAGAATAAGACATTTGGGCTGTTACCAAGCAAATGAAATCAGTATCAACAAAATTCATCTTTGCAATCCAGACATAAGCTGCACCTGAAGTGGCAGTTAGAAGTGTTTACACATTAACCTGCAGTTACAAATGCATAAATAATCTGCTATATTAAACATAAAAAAAGCAAAAACAGGCAATATGGTGTCTAAAACGTAAGTCTCTTAATAAAACTTCTAGTTTGTTGAACTGTTGTAAAAAAAAAAATCAATATTACATTTGTATAGGCCTATGGTAATTTTTTGAGGAAAAAAGGCACTCTTCCGTGTTAACTATATCATGTTATGAATAAACTAAACATTGTGAATTTTTACCTCAGTTACTTCTGAGTTTATGTGTGCTGTTACGCTCATTTGTTCTGAAGTCTCGAGACTAACAGAGTGAGCCTCAGCGCGAGCTTGTATTCTGTATTCTGCTAATTTACTGCAATTCTCTTTGATGACGCAGTAACTTACCGCGGGTGTTCTTCGGTCTGTCCAATGATTGTAAACAGTCATTAGGTCCGTCAGACTTAAGATATTTTAGCGGTAATGTGACCAAAAATATTTAAGACATTTTAAGACTTTTTAAGGACCCGCGCACACCCTGTTAAATGTTCATTGCATTGGCAACCACAATGATATTTTCTAATTCATGCACTAGGTGTCACTGTAGCTCAGTGCATCCTCTGAGAAGTGCGGTTTGGGTAATAAAAGGCGAGTTCAATCACCAGGAAAATCTAATGCAAACATTAAAGAACACTGCAAGTCAAAACAAGCGTATACAGGTACATTAACAGAAGGGAAACTGCCCTGTTGTTTTCTGCCACCTTGTATTGTTGTATCACACCAATTATATTATGATGTTTGAACAAAAGTAATACGGAAAATAATATATAAAACATAATACATATAGATAATATGCTTCAGGAGAAATCAATAAAACATTTCATCTGAATATTTAATAAAATCACACCACTTGTACTTCATTATCTCTGTGGAGCTTTAAATCAGTTCACAAGAATGTGTGCATGTGATATACATACAGTTCTGTCCTTGTCTGTGTACTCTATACCAAGAGTTTCCATTGCTCGCAAGATGGTGGCAAGACTCTGAATGGTGTTGCTATAGACCACAGGTTTAAACTGCTTTATGTCGTCTCCAGAAAACCCATCTTCATGGAGGTGGAGGAATATTTATAAATGTTTCAACTGTTTTAGTCCATGTAATAAGAGCCATTAATAAAAAGCTTTCACTTTATGGATTAACAAAAACACAGAAGAAAGCAAGTCATACTGGTTTGTAACGACATGAATGTTACGGAAAAAGAAGCACAGTACACCATCGCATACTTAAAAAAAAAAGAAAAAAGAGTAAACTAAAATATATTTTAATGTAACTTCTATTGAAATGTCATGTATTTAATATATATGTATGCATATGAATGTTTAATATATATATATATATATATGCATATGGATGGAATATGTGGTGGCAAAAGTAGTATGATTAGAGATTATGCAACAATCTGTCTTGAACTTCTACAGGTTGCATAGCCCAAGTTGTTGGTCGTCTTAATATTTTAAACCACACGTTAAACTGTAACTATGCAATAACTGTATAACTGTAATAAAAAAGTTAAAGTGTAACTAGTAAGAGTGTATTTAAAACCTTAAAATATATCCTAGGTCTGAGATATAGTTGTGTGTGATTTGAATTACAAAAACCGCAGTGATGCTGGTGTAGTAAAATGAGTTTGATCTGCAAAATGATATTTAATAATACAACACAATTGGTAAAAACTGCCATATAAGTTTAAAATAGTTGTATGTGCATCCGTAGTTCTGAAAATGTAAGGTTAGGTGGCATAGTCCCGGTAAATCCGTTTAATGGGCGGATAACGCTAAACGAGACTGCAGGGATCAGGCACTAAAAGCCACCCATTAAGATTAATACAGAGAAAGATTCTATGCGCGCGCGCACACACACACACACACACACTCTCTCTCTCTCTCTCTCAAGCACACAGTCAGATGACAAAATGAACACAAGGCCTTAACGCATAACATGGCACAACACACAAATGCCGGACCCAGATTAAATGCACATGACAAAAGCGTGAAACATTAAGGAACTTTGAAGCCCAAGCCGGCAGAGACAGCGACGAAGTAGGCTACACGCGCGCTCTCGAGCTGCACTGCACACATGCTACTAACATACACACACACACACACACACACACACACACACTCACTCACTCACTCACAGCGCTGTCTCTTGGGGTGCGCTTGTGTTTCAGCACTACCACACACTGAACAGCGCGAGACAAACAGTTCCCAACCTTTAACCGTTTAGAAACATGGCTGAACCGAGCAGAAAAAAGGCACAAAACCATTGATAGTATGTTAAAAACCCGCACTTACTTCATCTGTTTGACAATGGTGCTCTTCCCCGACTCCCCTCCGCCTGCGGAGACATAGGCTGTGTCAGTGCTGTCACACGCACACACACTTACACACCTGCAGCATCCTTATTCAATGCACTCATTGAAAAGCGGCCAGTGAGACCTCACGACTTACCCAGCAGCAGTAATTTGACATCTTTGGCTGCGCTTATTCCGGCTTCCTTCAGGTTTTTCTCGATCGCTTTGCTCCGGTCCAGAGCCGCGCGCTCCTCTGCACTTAACGTGCATCCCATTGCAAGACCGAGAGTCGGGACGCGCGAGAGCTGTATCCCAAATATCCGTCTCTGTCCCACACTCTCTCGCTTGCTCAGTCTGCCGATTGTTGCTAAAGCATCCAAGCCGAATTGAGGTCAGGTACAGGCTCACACTCCGGCCTCTTGATTTGGAGGAGGTCGTCCTGCTCGCGCTCCGGATCGCGAGTGTCTATTGGGCGGCGGCAGTGACAGCCAGCACGAGCTCATCTCATCCTGTAGTTCCCTCCTAATGCGCGAGGGGCAAACCCCTCTCATCGCGCTGACGTCACACAAGGTGCAGGGCTTGGGAACATCTGTTTGGTGGCAGCCGAAATATAGCTAAAGCTCGGAGGCTGTTTGATTTGTTTGTAGACGTATAGGGTATGTCCCACGTTCTGCTAATTTTTTAATTTATTTTATGTTTTGTTGTATTACTGCAGGCCTATTTTAGTATTGTGAAGAGCCTTCCTAATATGGGTGCCATGTTTGGATGTTCCTAATAAGCCTATTTTGTATTTCAATAAAAAGAAAAATCTTGATATATCTATCTATATATATATTTTTTTAGAAACTTTTTTAATCACTTTGTTTTCAATCATTTTACAAAAAAATTATTTTTCAATCATTTTACATTTTATTTTTCAATATAATACAAAATTTAAAAGATTTGAAATTCAAATATTTAACAAACAAGCAAATATGGTCTTTTCGCAATCTATTAAGTTATTACAGATTGGGAAAGTTTCCGGTGCTCTAATTTGACTGGCTAGGAGTGCAGTTTCTCTCTTATTTCTTCGCTCACATATTCTGTTCCAGACCAACTTTTAGTCTGTGCATTATGGAAGCTTATTTCCACCACGGAATAAAAAATAGAAATTCAAATGCAACTTTTTTTTTCCTCACAATTCTGAGCATAATTCTGACTTTTTCCTTTTGCAATCCTGAGTTCATATTTCGGGTGTACTCACTTCTGTGAGATACTGTATATATATATGTATATATAACAAGTCTGAACTGAGATATAAACTCACGAAAAAAAAAAGAAACTGAAAGAAAGACTTTCAAAGAGTAATTACCTTTTAACCTCTGTGGCATAAAAAAATAAATAAAATAAAATAAAAAAATTGAGGGGGAAAAAACAGAATTGCAAGATGTAAACTTAGAATTCAGAGAAAAAAAGTCACAATTGCTGGATGTAAAATCTGAATTGAGAGGGAAAAAGAGCAAAAATTGCAATAGCGAGACAAAGTCTGAATTTAATGTTTGAATTTTGAGATATAAACTCGCAATTACCTTTTTTATTATTTGTTTTATTCCGTTGCATAAATAAGATTTCATGATATGTAAAAAAAAACTAGACGTGTTGGCTTCTTTTGATTTTTTTGATTTTCATTTGGTGGAAAAGATACAAATAAACTGGGCAATTTTTGTCCATAACATAAATGAGTCGATTTGTTGACAATAACTTAACTGTTTACATATAAACACAATATTACAGGTCACAATTGTGTGTAATTATATAATTAGAAATATCATTATATGTATGTGTGTATAAGAGATTCAAAAATGTCTCCCTTTTATTTTCTTTTATTCGCCAAATTTCATTTGTGCAGTGATGCTTTTAAAAGTTTATATTTATGCAATTGGAAGATGCTTTAAAACAACTTAAAGTGCATTCAAGGTAAGCATTTAAGTATGTGTGTCGCATGGAAACCAAATCCCTAACCAAGTGTCATGCTCTACCAGCCAAGTCACACAAACATCTTTAACATTAGCAGGTTTTTTTTAAAAAAGCATCTGCAACGATGGAGCACAGATTCACTAATATATAAATACAAATATTCTCCCCCACACCCTCCCAATCTTACAGCTAAGATTGCTGTGAATTTCTCTAATGCCTAACCACTGCCATATGAGCCAGATGTTCTGCGGCTGGATTTTAGATAGCAACAGATAGTTAGATAGTGCTTTAGCAACTGTTATATGGGTGAGATGCTTTGAAAAAAATGAGATCACTGAGTGAGTTTTTAATATCTAGTGTAAATCTCTGGAGATCTTAGGATGTCATCACTCAACACTTTAAAATATATGCATGCACATGCATCATCATTTCACACTTAGTGTTATTCTTTTGGCTTTCTGATGTCGGTCAGAATGTCAATGTTTGCACAGAAGAATATTGTGAATGTTTGGGAAGGGAAATGTACATATACAAAATAAATAAATGCATATATTTCTAGGTAAAGATTAATACCTGACTGATTCTTTGAAATGTGACCAAGGGGAGGGGAAAATGTAATACATAACTTCAGCTTTGATTTCATGCCAAGCCCAGCCCTAACTGCACAGGACTCTTCACTTTCTGAACACACCAATGACACACATACAGGTCACTCTGATAGATTACTTTACTCAGATAAGAGCAATATCAAGCCACATAGACTGCTTAACATGCTTTTATCTTTATTACCAGGGTGGAGACAAAATCACAGACCCTCCTCCATAAGCTGTAACATCACAAGTATGTTGAAATATCATTACATAATCATATGCGAGTAGCATTTATATTTTGAGCAAATTAAAATCAAGGAAATCTTTACATTTATTCCCAAATGAAATTGTGAATAAAACATTTAACTAAGCATGTCACCGGACAGGAAACAACGGAACTGTTGAGTAATTTTCTCTGTTTTTTAATCACCAGGTTTTTCATAAATGAAAATGTTAGATTTCACTCTAGAAAACGACTAGGAGCTTCTAAATCCCCATAACTAAAATGAATGTGATCTCTTAACCATGTAATACTTTAATGGCAGGTCTGCGTAATGCTTTAATGGAGAAAGGCCTCATCCATTTCATTAATCTGACCGCCCTCAATAGATACCATTAAGCTAAAATTAATTTTTAAGAATAATAGCATCTCATAGCGTATTAAAACACAATCAGATCCAGATGTTGACTTTTTTATTCATTTTTCCTTTTTTTCCCTCCAACTGATATTTGACATTCATCTTACCACACCTTTTGCTCAGATCAAAAAAATACCCCAATCTTTTCTCCAAATGTTTCAGCTTACCGGAAAAGGTAGCAATATGCTACTGTAACGTGGGTTGGTGTTTATTTATAGAACCTCTGAATATTGATTTCAGGATTGAATTTCTAAAAACAATATACATTCAACTACAGTTCTTTAATACTGCCTCATGTCATATTTATCCTTTCTAGTCTCTTTTTAAAAAATTAGATCAATTTAGTGACCTATACTCAGTGGACTGGTTTTATAATCAGATTAAGCATGCTTTTGGACTAGAAAGCAGTTTATTTAGAAACATTATTATGAAAGTAATCTATAGTTCAGTAATATCCTTAATATGCATAACTGGAATTTGGTCCTGACAATTTAATTTTTTAAGTGGTGTCAAGCTCTGTATTTCCAGTTGTCTTTAACACTCTTTTATGAGTGATTTCATGTAATGTGCCGATTAAGAGTCAATCCATATGTGACCCTGGAGCACAAAAGCAGTCATAAGCAGCACAGGTATATTTGTAGCAATAGCCATAAATACATTGTATGGGTCAAAATTATCCATTTTTCTTTTATGCCAAAAATCATTAGGATTAAGATCATGTTCCATGAAGATATTTTGTAAATGTCCTACCGTAAATACATTCAAACTTAATTTTTGATTTGTAACATGCATTGCTAAGGACTTCATTTGGACAACTTTAAAGGCAATTTTCTCAATATTTAGATGTTTTTTGCACCCTCAGATTCCAGATTTTCAAATAGTTGTATCTCGGTCAAATATTGTCCTATTCTAACAAGCTTATTTATTCAGCTTTCAGATGCTGTATAAATCTAAATTAAAAAAAATTGACATTTATGACTGGTTTTGTGGTCCACGGTCACATATTAGTTGTGCTGTAGCAGTGGTCCTGCTACATTAAGTGCCTTCTAACAATAACACTGCTCCCTTCAATGTGGAGGGCAATTCACTGTTTAAAAACACACTCAAGTTCTGGAAGGTAAAGTGATGCTGTTTTTAGCATCTACAGTTTGTTGCTCTTATGCACATAACGACTCTGAGATGCAACTTTTCCTGACCTGATAAAACACAGACAGGACAATGTGGAGGACAAATCTTGAGTTATGCATGAAATATGCATGAAAAACTATTTATTTAAAACGTATTTCATTGTGGGCAGATGACAGGTGTTGGCAAATTTCAAGTAAGAGACAGATAGAAATTATAAGGTCATGACGAAAAACAATTCACAAAAATGAGAGTGCACACTCTTCAAATGTAACTATATATCTTGGAAACAATCACACATGTACAAAAAGAACACACACACACACACATATACATCACTCATTCATTGTACAGAGACTCGTACAGTCTCAATCTCGCGGCTGGATGCCCAACATGATCTCTGCCATGCTGGTCAGTTTTGTCTCTTCTAGTGCACTGATAAGACGGCTCAGTTTGGCACTCCTTCCCTCTGATTGGATGAAACGTCCAAGCAGTTGATAGGCCTGTTCATAAAGCCCTTCCCTCTCATACTCATAGGCGAGATTGTCGATAGCAGGGCCTTTTAGGGCACGGCAGTGCTTTTGTAAAGCCCGTCCCACTCGTTTCCAATCCCGTCCCACATGAGCAGCAAACCGTTGCTGGTCTGCTGAAGTCAAAGGCCTATCGTCTGAGAGCACGGGAAGGAGAAGACAAAAATCAAACAATTTGAATGTGAAAACTAGTCTGAGATCATAGAAATACAAATTTAAATTGCATCATCATATACATTTAAATAGTTAAAACTCACCAAAAACTCTTTCCTGAAACAGAAAGCAGTTCCTGGGCAGCTCCTGTGGTGGTTGACTGGGAGGACCGAAGCTGTTCTGCAGCTGCTGCTCCAACTGTGAGACCTCGTCATCTCGCAAACGCACAGGCTACAAAACAGCCATCCGTTAAATAAACAGCTGTTTATTTGAAAATATCTGAACCATATTGTTACATCCATAGAAGGTAAGGCTCAACCAGCAGCTGTTTAGTTAAAAAAAAGAGATTTACCATTTTTTTCAAAAGGTGTTAATTCCATTGGGAGTCTCACAATAATGAGATATTCTCTCACTGTTTTCATCAGAGCAAGACTGATACATCAGACTGGTTCAGATACCACCTGTACTTCTACTGAAAAGACATTTGCAAACACAATGTCCA